TTGCTGATTAGATTTTATTAATTTGTTATTACGGAGCTACTACATGAGTAGACTCCTAGAGTTTTACAGTTATATGATGAGTGTACAACAAGCTACATGTACAACTTTAGTCATTATCTAATTTAAGTAGTCCGCCATACAGATGATCGACCATCTGTTGGTTTTACACATGCTGCTATATCTGCAACCCGCCTGTAAGTTACCTATTTAAACACTCTGATCATTAACCTTTTCCCCTATCCCAAACTAATGTCACCCTTTAACTGACTGCTTAAGCCAGCTGGTTTACCTGTAGATCCATTTACCGCACAGCTTAGATCCTCTCAGGATGCGTATGCCCAATATATTGTGAGCCACAGAGCTTCGGTTAATCTCAGAAGCATATCTACTAGAGCGGTCCGTGCCTATTTCATGAATTCACCTAGCTAAGACTCTTGTGGATATTTGTGTGACCCCAGTTCCTACTGTAGCTCTCCACCAGTGTCATTTACAGATCTCGCCAAAGCCTATCACGAGCTAGATCCTCCCAATCTAGTTAGCTACCAAGCCAAGTTGATGTTACCATAATATATAGTGATCACTACTGTGATATGGACTTATGCGTACCTAACCTGATTAAAGTCTTTGAGTACTGTATCTTTCTGAATCAAGTGTAAGCCAGTGTGACCATCAAAAGCTGTACTACTTCACCTACTCAGGGTTTCTACTATGCAGATCCCCTGCTCATAGATCCTATCAAGATTTATTTGTGTAATGTTATGTTTCTCCAAACATTGCGTCATACTTCCAATATTCGGATAATATTGGTGCAATGTAATTTACAGGGTTACAACCTCAGAAATGGACAGGTTTACTGTAAGTTAGGTACAAAGATTTAGATAATTATTCAAATTTGTCGACAGTAGGATTTGAACCCCAAACCTCTTGCATGGTGGTCTGGCAACCTAACTACTACACTAAGATTACTAGACCTATCAGAGTCTGCTTTGTATATTAAGTCTAACTATTATAAAATTAGTCTTTTATATAAATAGACTTTACTACTTACCTACTTATATCATTCTCCTTACTGACTACTGTAGATATATCTTTCAGTAAGGTGGCAGCTGCATTTATGAATTTAGAAAATTTTATTATTGAAAAGAATCTTCTAAGAAAAAAAACGAGTCTTCTAACAAAGAAGGTTTAGTAAAAATAACATTGAATTTATTAAAGAGATAGTTCTTAGCTTCAGGAAGAGCTGTTTCTTTGTAGTATTTAATAATTTGTTGTAGTGTAAATTGTTTTTCTTTAATTATATCAAAATATGTAATTATTTGAGCTAAAAAATGAATATTAATCATATTTGCAGTGATATACTCAATTGCTTTTTCTCTTATAAAGTTATGAAGATTATAGTTTTTAGCTACTGTATAGTAATAAGTATTCAGATATTAGTAGAAATAGTAGCTTCAACATTTATAGAATTTTGTTGTTTTATTTTTCTTGCAGATGAAGTTTTTAGCCTGGTTAGCTAATTCATCGATTAGTTTTAGAGAAATTGGTTTTGAAAAGTTAGCTTTATATTTTTCTTCAATTTCAAAGATTAAGGAATCAGATATAGGTAATTTCTAGATTTTACTTTTTTTTTTAGATATGTAGTGTAGGATTATTTAAGAATTAGTTTAAACAAGTTAAGAAAGCTACCTTAAAAAAAAAAAAAAAAAAAAACAAAGCAGACTCTGGTATACTCTGTATCTGTAAGAGCTAGAAATACAGTGAGTACCTTAGGAGATTCAAATTTCAATATGTATTTATTAACATCATTCAAATCATATAATGTATTTAAATCATCAAATTCAACTTTAACTCAAAATATAACTAATATATGCTACATTTTTTCTTCTAACAATACAATTTACTATTATTCAAATGAAATGAAACATTAGACTCTTTTCTTATACACTTATCTAATCTTTTTTTTTCACAACTAATTTTCATTTCTATAAATTAAATCTTTACTAAAACTTATATTTATCTTAATTTGTATAAACCTATTCTCAAAAATCATCAAATCCTTGAATCAAACCAACTCCTTAATTACTATTATCTACTTATATATATAAACAAATTTCAAACTCCACAAATCAATACAGAACTCTTTACACAAACCTAACAATTAAATATTCATCAATTAACACTCTTCTGAAAATAATTACTTACAAATTAACAATTTATTTTCTTCTACATCTAACCAAGCAATTACTAATAATATTAAAAATAATTTTCTTGATATAAATATTGATTCTATTAATATTAATAGATTCTCTTTACCCTCTAAGCAACTATTATTATTAGATCTAATTAATTAAAACAAGTACAATATTTTAGATATTTCAGAAACACATCTGTTAACAAAAAAGGAAAAGTTTCTTAATAAAGAAATACTAACCTATACAAGCTTTTGGAGCTCCTATACTAACTCTTGTCAAGCTAGTATTAGCATTCTTATATACCACTCTATCTAAATATATTGCTAGATCACATAACTTTAATAGTTATATTATAGACATTAATCTATATTTCAAAAATAACCTAATTTGTTTTTTACAAATCTATCTACCAACAGCAGAAAAAAAACAACTTCAGAAAGAAATAATTAAATTATGTTAAATACAACATATAAAATTATTATAATAGGTAATCTTAATAGTATATCAAACCTTCAATTAGACAGACTTCCTACAAAAAAATCTTCAATTCCAGAATCAAAACTTATTAAATTTCTAATAAGTCAACAATTCAAAGATACTTTTCACTTATTCTTCTCTAAAACGTCTAAGTATACTTTCTTAAGAGCTAATTCTCATAGTAGAATTAATTATATTTAGACCAATATTAGTACAATACTAATTGACTATCCCTTAGATTATAGACCAATACAGACAAATTTGTCTGCGTTTTTGTATTCATTATTATCTATTAAAAAAAAGGTTTTATCCGAAATTGAAGTTTACAATATCAAGAAGGAAAATTGTCTTATATCTAAATTTATTTAAACTTGTGAAAGACTATTCACATTTAGATGAAATTTACTGGGCTTATGAATAGTATCAAATGAGAACTCCTGCAAGATCAGAATCCATCTGGCTAGTCAATTCTGAGGTATCTTATGAGAGAATAATGATTTTAAAGTGGAATGATCAGTATAAAGGATAAAGTGAGCACTATATAGATAGGGGCAATAATATGATACTGCTCATACTGCTACAAGACACTCTTTCTCAGTAGTTTAATAATTCTTTTCAGCCTTTGTGAGACTTCTGCTTGCATAAGAGACTACATGCTCTAGATTTCCTTCATCATTTTGAGCCAATATAGCTCCTAAAGCCATATTAGAGGCATTAGTATAAAGAATAAAAGGCTTAAGAAAATTTAGGTATACTAGAATCAGAGCAGAAGTAAGTCTTGTTTTTAATTCTTTGAAAGCCTGTTGCTGTATCAGAGACTATTTATATTTTACATTTTTCTTTAATAGATAATTGAGTAGAGCAGCAATATTTGTAAATCTATAAACAAATCGACGATAATAAGAGGCTAGCCTGAGGAATCCTCTTAGTTGTTATATGTTATATGGAATAGGAAAATTTTGAATAGCTTTTATCTTCTGAGGATCAGTAGAAATACTAGCAGCCCCCACTATGTATCCTAAAAACTTCAGTTACTGTTTTGTGAAGTGACATTTTTGAGGCTTAAGCTTTAAGTCTACATAGTTTAAGTAACGAAAAACTTCCTGTAGATGAATAATATGTTGCTTAAATAAGGATGAATATATATTTAGATCGTCTAAATAGACAACTACAAATTTCCCTATTAAATCTTTAAAAATTTTATCCATCAGCCTTTGAAATATGACAGGTGCGTTGGTTAGGCTGAAAGGCATAACATTGAACTTATAGAGGCCATATTAAGTTATAAAAGCAGTTTTCTCCTTATCTCTTTCTTCAACTTCAACTTGCCAGTAGCTACTGGCTAAATCTAGAGATGAATACCATGAGGATCTGTTTAGAGCTTCTAGAAGTTCATCAATGTGAGGGAGAGGGTAATTATCTTTCCTAGTTATCGCATTAAGTTTTCGATAATCTATACAAAATCTCATCTTCTTTTCTTTTTGTTTTACTAGAACAACAGGAGAAGACTAAGAGCTCGAAGATGCTCTGATGATATTTTCTCAGAGTATCCGATCTATCTTCTCTTTTAAAAATTCTTTCTCCCTAAGAGAATATAGGTATGGCTTTTGCTTAATAGGATAAGTTTCTTTCATAATTATTCTATATCATATTTGATTAGTTCTTCTGAGGTCAATAGAATTTCATACAAAGAGATAATCATATTCATCGAAAAGCTGAGTAAGTAATATTTCTTGTTTTTTTGTTAACTTCCTAACTTGATATTCCTTTTTAGAGTTATTTTCATCTTCATAGTAATAATCAAATAGGTCAGGGATTAAAATATCTTTTCTCTCTTGAATTAAGCAGGACATTTTCTAAACGTTAGGAACGATTAAATTATTCTTATTATTTTGTCTTCGATTTAGAATTCTAATTTTTTCTTTATTAGGATTATTAACTATTTCTATATCGATATCAAAATCATTCTCAGAATCAGAGTACGAAATATTTTCTTTTATTACTTGTAGTTCTAAACATTGTTCTTTGCTTTCCTCTAATTCATCCTTCAAATAGTTTTTATCCCAATTTTCTCTGATTTCTTCAGATATATCTTAGTATTCACTATCTTTTTTTTCTTCATCTAGATCATCCGTATTTTCTTCTCCTTCATCTATTTCCGAAACCCCATAAATTCTTTCTTCCAATTCTTCATCTTCGAATTCTTTTTCATCGATTTCCATAGCATCATCGTCACTTTCTTTTAAAGATTCTTTTGCAAGTCATTTATACTCCAAAGGTGTTTTCACTAACTGCCTAAATTCTACAGGAACTATCACCTCCTTACCTTTCCAGGAGATAGTCATCTCGGAAGAATTCCAATCAATCATGGTATTGACTTTAGAAAGCCAATCATTTCCAACAATAGCTTTATATGAATTGGCATCAGTTACTACTACATCTATGGGGATTTCTATCCCTCTAACTATAAAGGGGAAATTTGAAATTTCTCCTATAGCTCTTTTACTTTTACTATGTACGTTAACTATATTAATAGTTGAGAGTCTTTTAACTTTAATCTCTAGATCTAATAAAAGATATGAAGAGACCACACTACCTGAGGACCCACTGTCCACAATAAGAGGAATAACTTGACTATGGATAGTGGCATCACAGTATAAAGCTGTAGACTTTTGAGTAGGTTGAAGGTTTACATTTGTTTTTATTCTTTGCATTATAACTCTTTTCTTCTGCAGTCCCCTCATTAATTCTAATCTCATTGAAGGAATAGCTCTTAATAATTGTCCTATAGTAATATTAGCAGGTTTGTCTTTAATATCAGTGACTATAGAATAGAAGTTGACTAGACGGAAATTTGAGGAAGTTCTTTCTCTGCAACCTTCTTTTTGTTTATCATTATTCTTTTTGTTCTAACTTTCTTTTTCTCAATAACAGGTTTAGTGTCTTCTTTCATTAGGTTTTCTTCAATGTCTCTCTGTTCCGAATTTTCTTGTTCAATATCCTCTTGTTCATTTTCTTCTAATTCTATATCTATATCTTCTATTGTATCTTCTAGAGGTTAGTCTGTATTTCTAATTATTTTATCTTTACTAGATTGTTGTCTTCTTTAACATATGGTATTAATAGGTTTCTTTCTTATAGGTCAATTTATTATGTTAAATATATGAACATCTTCTTCTAGAATCCCTAAAAAGGTAGGTTGGTTTTCTTAGTTATTCTGAGTTTCATTCATATTAGTGAGTATAGCTAACAATATCTGCAATATTTCTTGAGTAGGTAGTTACGAAGGATTTGGAATTGCAGATGTTAGGTTATTCTCATTATTGATATTTCCCATTTTAGAGTTATGATATTCTCAGCTTATATGCCTAGAATGTCTACGATGAAAACAAGTGATTTGTCTTTGGGATCTATTCGTTAGTGGGTAGCTTCTTTGTTGTCTTGGGGAATTCTGTATTTGAATTATCATTCTTTCTATAGCTTCTGTTAATTTATTGATAGCCATTTCTGTTCTATTATTAGGCGTAGCTTGATTCAAATTGGAGATTCCTATAGGTTGCCCTAAAAACTCAGCATAAGTAGGATTAAGCCAATAGGCATTTTCAAATGCCTTAGCCCTTTTATATGCTGCCTGAAGTAAGTTTGGAGAAAATGGAGACATTGCTACAGACAATTCAGGATGAAGACTGTTGATAAACATTTGAGCTTTTGAAGTATCAGGATATCTATATCTACTAGCTTCAACCCTTCTTAGCAAGTCTTCAATTGCCGAATAATAAGAATCTACCTCTTCTCCAGGTAATTGTTTCTTATTAGTTAATTGAGAAAACTACTTATTTTTAAGAGTGAGGGTTCTGAAGTGAGTTATGAAGGCGGGATGAAAACTTTGAACTGGTTGTGCAGGGTTGTCCCATCTATTAATAACGGAAGGTTGTTGCTATTGAATTGTCTACTAAGTAGCAGCTGGTCCTTTTAATTGAGATACAATAACAGAGATCTTTCACAGCTCAGCAACTCAATTAGCTTCAAAGGCTTTTTCTACTTTTTCTAACCACAAAATCAGGTCTTGTTCTCCTCCAGCAAAATCAGAATAGGGTACTATAGTAAGTTCTCTATCTCTTGTGACATTTATTTGAGAAGCAGGGTTTGCTTGCATTTGAGTAATTAATCTTCTAATTTGAGCAGCTAAATTATCTACTGCGTTGTTGTTATTGGAGCGAGCCATATCTTCTATTTCTTCATCTGTATCTTCTAGAAGGTGAGGCTGAATTATTTCTTGAATAGTATTGAGATTATAAGTATTATTATCTGTTAGAAGATTAAATTGATTAGTCCTTCAGTAAGCTTCAATAAATTCTCTTTTTAGTTCAGAGATATTATTGTATCTAGGCCTATATCAGATTGAGAATACTAAATTATTTATTATTTCATCAGGTAAGTTTTTAGGAGAATAATCTTCAAGCTGATCAAATAATCAGATGGTTTTCTGAGAATAGCTAAGAGCTAATTGATTCTCAAGGTACTAATTCCAAAAATTATAAAATTGATATCCTGGAAAGTCAGTAATTGAATAGCAAATAATACATGAAGTATCTTGATAATTAGGATCTAAGAGTACATTTAATAATAGATTATAGAGAAAACGGGTATGTTGTTGCTCATGTATGTAGTTTAACCTATAATATCTCTCAAGTGTAGTCATAAAAAAACTATCCTTATTTAGCTTTTTAAAGTAAAAAATACAATTAAGGTGATTTTCTACACAATTAGCACCAAATATTACTACTAGTTAGGAGAGCAAAGAAGTAAAAAGCAATTAGTTTAGCTCTAGTAGATAACTTAAGATGATAATTGTCTTGTTTAGTATACATTGTATAGTTCTAGAGTAATAATATAATTAAGTTTAAATAATAAATTTCTCTTATTTTGATTCGGGGATGATCAGTTTAAAGAATTCACATTCTTTAAAAGGTCAAGAGTCATACAGGACAATTTATAATCGGAGTTGAAATAAATTCGAGGGTTACACGAAGTGAAATAATGAGAATAAAGTTCGAGTTGTGAGAATAACAAAAAACGAAAGTGTGCATGAATGGGAAAAACCAAAAAGAAATCGAATAGTAATAATAAAACTAACAAAAAGACTAAATACAAAATTATTAAAGCCAAAACGTCAATTCAACAAGTATAGGTCTACTTTGGCATCTTATGTGCTTACTGCCTATAAATTCAAAACTTAACAAAGAAAAGATAAAATTTAATTAAAAGGGGATTTGAGAGATCGATACTTTTAAATAAATGCAAAGGGACATATTTATTAAGGTAAGTATTTATTTAATAATTTTAAAGGGACTTTTAAGACTTGTTATTTATTTATTTTTTGAAAGATTTTGGAAGATCGAAATCTGCTTTTATTAATATAAAAATTTTAGAGCTTATATACATTTTAGTTAATTAAAGAACACATTTGGTGTCATAATGGCACTTTAGCACCCAATTGACACTACTAGTGCTAGCTTGATGCCAACGGTGTGAATATGACACCAGACATGTTATTCCACCCTAGGCTTTTAACTAAGCCCCAACAAGTAAAAACCAAATAAAAATATATATATAGTAAAAGAAATAATAATAATAATAATAATAATAATAAAATAAATAAATAAATAAAAAAAAATAAAGTCTAAAAAAAAAATGTTATCTATAACAATGTGAAGATCCCGCAGGACCAATGATTGACAAATTCATGGTTAAGCCTAAAAAGATATCATAAGATAATTAACCCAATTGTCAAAATATGGCTTAGAGATGTCAGAAAGATAAGTTAACCATATCTGAATTAGTTCGTGGCTGTATCATAGCACTATGATAAATTTTAAGGCTGTTCATTGAAATTTATGAAGTAAAATCTTCATTTTAGTTCTTTTTCCTTCTTTTTGTTTCTTTTCTATGCTTCCAAAATTGTTATAAAAGAACTATAAATTTGACAACATGTAAGAGAGATTAGATGCCATCTTAAGTCTGATCAATAAAATAAATAAAACTCTTACCTTTGCCTAATGTTTCACTACTGCCTTGACCTGTGCTAAATTAAATCTACCTCTCTTTTAGATAGTGTCATGTTATACTGCATCTTGGATTTCTTAGTGACGCTATCACACTATTTCTTTTCCTGTGGAGGTAGTGTTATTAGCCTCTGACAATATATATGGGGCTTGTGAGAAGGGAAAGATGTGGCTTAATGACAGATTAGGAATTTACTCAGCTGATTATAACGTATTTATGATGCTATATAACATATACATGATAATAGTAAAACATATACATAACAGTAATAGAATATATATGTTACAAAGCTAGAGAATAGAGAGAATAATAAAAGTATTCTCTATAGAAACCAAATGTATAAATATAGATCCTCTTGGCCTTCTTAAAATATTAGTTATCGATTGTAATAAACAAAATCTTATTAAATAAACCATATTATTTCATATTTAAATATTTTAATTTTCCAAATCTTAAATTACCTTAAATCCACTAAATTAATAATCAGTTCCTCATCATATTTCTTTTTATTATTATTTTAATTAATGAATAGCAAAAAAAAGTAGAAACCAAAAATTAAACTATTCAAAATCTCAACTAGCCCAAAAAGAGTATATATGCTAAGTCTCTTATTTAACATGAAGGAAATAAGTATTAAGGCTGAATAGACCTTCTCTAAGTAACTAAAAGCTATATACTTGATAATTTATATCAGTATATTGATATTATGACTAATAACATTAATATTAGAAATAGGATTGTTAATAGGATTAATCAGTTTAGACTATGTTGTTTTGTTATTAGAATAACTCCAATTGTTTAAATTAGATTATTCCCAACCTTCTCTTATTATATTGCTATCCTGATTGATTATATCATTGATTATATTATTCTTATTCCTTTTTATACTATTCTCAATATAGTTATTATCGATATTACAATTCACTCTTCTAATTTCTCTATAAACCTAATGATTCTTACCTATTACCTATTAACTATTGGAGCTAAACCATGCACTATTACTCACTCTCCCAATTTACAATAGTAATATTTGATGCTAGTTGTATAGATTTTGAACTATTTCATCCTTATTAAATTATTATTTGATAGTTAAATTAAGTATCTAACTCAAAACCCTACTAAAGAAATATAGATTATATATATAAAAATAATGTAATAACCTCTAACCACAAAACTAGAACCTAACCTAATGCATAATTTAGTGAACCAAATAGTCAATTTGGTTCAATAAATACAAATTAGGCAACTTCCATAAGCAAATATATCTGTTGTCCTAGAGCAATGTGATATTATACCTTTATTTTCTATTTACTAGCTA